GAGGGCGAAGCTACATTATATGTGGCGTTTTCATCTACCACAGACAAGAGACGGCTTAGTGGTATTCAGAGCTTCGTGTGCCCTGGCGGATTTGTGGTTCTATTGTGGGTGTTATTGTCGGCGTCGGCGTCTGAGGTTGTTGATCTTTATCTTTTACGAAACCCTTTCCATCTTTCGCCTAGCAATTCGGCTTGATCATCGTTGACCTCACAGAGGTGTTTCTGATGACAGTACGCCTGGCAAGGATGCACTTGATCAGAGACTTGTGTGATGGTTGACGAGCCTTGAAATGGGAGAGAATCTAGATCTTCAATGCGAATATATCCCGTAAAGTTGCCATATCTGTTGTTGAGATAATATAATGCCAGTGATGAGAACACCCAGTTTTAGTAATAAGATGGGTCTTGTTACTGGAAGAGGAAGCGAATGGACAGGAATACGAACATGACATCAATAAATTTATGTTCCTCGGTTGAATACTTGGCCACGACATGGTATCATAAAAGGTGACAGTGCTTAATTGTTTGGTTATGAGGATATGAAGAAGGCCAAGACAGTGTGGATCATATCGCTATTTGATTGATCCATGGACGTCCATCCGAACCGACTGAAACAAGGGTTGGGTCTCTTGGTCAGCCCCAAAATCCTGTCTTTTACAGTAGGATCTTGCAACGAACCGAGAGGTCTAAGTACAGTCAAGACGAAGTAACGCTGAGTTCTTTCAGTTGGCCTGAAGGTGACCGTTTCAGAGGAACTCTCAGAGGATAAGTTCAATATGACCATCCAACTGACTTCGAAACCAGCCTAGACGTAAAAAGGGCAGTCATCACATCTACAATATCAAGCTTAATAAAGGTCGCCGATCTGCAGAGGGTGGCCTATACTAGGCCCCCAACTGAGGCTATACGGACACCGTAATTGGACGGAGATGGTTTCACGTGATCAGTCATCATGCTTCCAGTTGGCTGGTTGGCTGTCAGTTGCTGACGCCCAAAAGGGCCCTCCCGCGTCTAACGGCGCTACAAGAAGCCTCAGCCAGTCATAGCTCGAACTCTAGCCGCCAAACAAACATACACCATCCGTCGAGTTTCGGATCGTCTGATGTACTGTATGTATTTTGCCTCTGCATTGCACCAGGCAAAAATAGCACGCACCTGCAGCAGCATATCTCGGATCTAGCCTCTTCCATAATGACGCAGAGAGCGATGGAGGGCCCGCTCTGGCGGCTCCATAGTCCTCGAGAGGCCTTGGAGCTGAAGAGGAGGCTTGCAGATGCAGGACTTACAACGCCCAGCAAGCGCTGGCCTTCATGACATGATCAGCTTCCGTGATGTAGCGGGAGACGGCGGCTGCTGAGAATGTATATGCTGCATATGCAGTCTAGTCTGGTCTTGTCTTGCCTTATCTCGTCTTCATATGTCCCCTTGTTTCCTAACTCATCCATCCGTTGTGACTGTGTTTCGCATTTTCTTTTCTCCTTTTCCTCTGTCGTCTTGTCTGTGACCGCTTGTACAAACTCTCACTCACTAATTTCTCCTTTGTTCTCTTTTCCCTTTGTTCTCTTGTCACGACTGCTCATGAATCCACTTCGTTGAGATGCTGGCCATCTCCTTTAATAGGATACCCTTCTCTTTAGGTGAGTTCATCAGCTCAACATGGCCAGCCTCAAGCTGGAGCTGATCTTGGTCATCAGATGTTTCGTTGTAGAATGGCCAGTTGGCCATTTTCCTTCGTGCCGGCATGGTTGATCTTTTGTGTAACCGTCGTACTGGCGACCAATATCTCCAACGAATTCTCGAGTTTCATCCCCAGCTGTGCCGGAGAATGCTTCGCCTCTTTTCTAAACGTCAATTATGCTCAAGATGTTTGCACCGGAAAATCCCTGTTGGATTGTTTGTGTTCTCGAAGGGGCGCCTCGGGATTCACTCTCGGCGAGGGTGCAATGCAATGCATCTCTGCTGAACGATCCATTGGATACTGCTCCATAGTCGAAGCCAGTGGTATGTACTACGAACCACATAAGATATAAAGAGTGTGTTGCTTACACAGAAGCAGATAGAGTCATCGAGAATGCATATGATATATGCAGCGGGAGACCTGGCGCGGTCCACCCTACTTATCTCACTATCACAGCAACATTGGTTTTGGCTCCTTCGGGAGGAGTTGTGACTTTTCCGTCGATGACCACCAAGACTACTTCACGAGCGGATGCATCGAGCGCTATTCGTACATTGCCAACAACCTTGGTTATTGATACATCCTCGCCCCCTGTGATTCCAAGACCATCGACGAAAACAACTAGCTCAACAACACGATCGACAGCCAGAGAACACTCTACGACTGAGTCGTCCGATGATTCAGATATAATCTCGATCACCGAACCTCCGTTCACCAAACCCACTACTCTTGAGACTTCTACATCTACCTCAACTTCGAGTTTAGAGATCGAGACCACCACGGATGTATCGGGTGGTGCAGGTGGGGCAAGCAAAGACGAGGACAGTGATGATTCAGACAAACTCTCCACTGAACAGGTTGCTGGTATCTCAGTGGGTGTCCTTGCCGCAGTGGGAGTTGCAGTTGGAGCCATCGTATTGGCAAGATACTATCGACGAAGAAAGTATCCTCAGATTAAGACTGGCTTTCTCCCTATGAGGGACACCTGGGGTTATAAGCCAGATCGATCTGACAACGGTGGACATGATTCCTGGATGGCCCATCAACTACGACCTGATTTGGATCCTACAAATCACCCACCACCGCCGCCTGCTTATAACCGGAGGAGTGTCAAGCCTGAAAGCATTGGTGTAGCATTATCACCTCCTCCCTCGAGCCGCAACACCGCGGTGCATACTTCTCCACTGAGGCGATTATCAAAGCTGCTCCCTGCGAAACCAACACTACCGGATCTATCTGTTGGAGACACCAACGACAAGCCCTTGCCTCTTCTCCACACAGAACACGCTGACGGTAGACGCCAAGATGCTGGACAATCGTCTCGAGATGAGAGTCCTTCGATACCACCGCCAACACTTGCTGCCGCTGCTTTGACAGGAAGGTCTAAACCGACGCCCCCCGCACCACTGGAACTACAAATACCACAAGCTGAGAAATTGAACGGACCAGCTGTAAGGATGAGCAACCGTGAGAGCAACGTGACGGAGTTTGAAGAAGATCGTACATCAATATCCCCAAACGCCAACACTCAAGTCTGGAGACCGCCAACAACGCCTCTCTCGGCAACCACCTACTATGTTGCTGACCAATACGGTAATTGGGTCCTGGGAAACCCAAAGCGTGCCTCAGTGATTGCACGAGGCTCGCAGGACTCCAAGGTTTCTCAAGAGGGAGCATCAAGACCACCTAACAATGATAATGGCCCCCTCGGTAGTGCAGAACAAAGCGGCACCAGAACGCTGGCTCCTCCAGCTGAGATTATTCCTGGTGGCGCACAGTCCAGACCTGCTGGACCTCGTCCGCAGTATCCCTCCCCCTTCTTCTCTTCCCAGTCTCATCCGAGACGCAGCGCTTCCAATCGTCGCTCCATGACAAGACCCCTGACTCGACCACGTGAAGACTCTAGCAGTAGCAGCGCCACCATCATCACCACCTCAACCGAGTCTTCCTCAAGCATTCCGTCTGTAGCACCAGAACAGCAAGTCAGCCTCTCTCCTGTTGTCGAATCTCCCCAGTCAGTCCGAGCTCGTCAGCAGCAGCCTCAGATCCCTCCACGAGACCCTCGGCGTGCTAGCCAGATGGGAAACCCTGGTGTCGGCATCAATCCGCGAGCTGCCCCTCCTACGCGACAGGTAGTTTACAGCCCTCCTGGGCAGCCAAGCCCGACTTTGGGTATGATGCAGCCTCCTAGTGCATACTACGCGGCACTACAGTCCAAAGCACAGTTGAATGCGCAACCGCAACAGAAACCTCAATCAGCCGTTCAAAGCGCGCAACCCGTCGCCAATACAGGGCTACAGACAGCTTCACCGACAATGCGCATTGTAGAGCCTTCTCCGGAGCCAGACGAGACCTCAGAACCCGCGACTGTCAAACAAGATCAGATCAGGGCGTCTCCCTTTTACTTTGACCCACCATATCCTCAGCCTCTTCATTCTCGCCAAACCTCTCAACATCGCCGTTCTGCATCAGGTCCTCAACCTCAGCAGTATCAACCATATCAGAGACCTCCCTCGTTTCAACCTTCCCCTCGTCAACAACAGGCAGCCTGGCAACCCGTCCAGAGACTCCATTCACACAATCACCAGCAACAACACCACAACCAGCAGCAACAGCAGCAAAACCCTTGGCAGCCTACACAACGTATACCCCCAACATATCCGTCATTCCAGCAGCAACAGCCTCTGCAGCCCTATCAGCGCACATTTCCGCACCAGCAGCCCTACCAACAGCCACAGATGTACCCTTCTTTCCAGCCTCGGCCAGGCCAACAACATTACCCTCATAATCCAGGGGGTTACCAGTCATTTCAACCATATCCTGCCGCACAACAGACTCAAATACATCCCTCTCAATATCAGAGTTACCGCCCCCCTCAATCAATGAACCCGTCCCTTGTTCACTCTGATAGCCAGGATTCACTCCTGGCTAAGCGTGTCGGTTTAGATCGCGCCGCTGGTATGGCTATCGGTACAGATAAAACTGGCTCTTCAAAGTGGAATCGTGATATTCAAAACAAGACACGACCAAACCTTCCTATGTCGCCACATTGGCAGCCGACATTGACCCCTACACGGCGAGGAGATGACCTGGTCTTGAACGTACAATAAAAATGGAGATATAGAGATTTCGGCGGCACATACACCATCGTTCTGTTGTTTCGTGGATTAGATCACAGATCAATTTTGTACAATAGCAAAGTATTTGGGAGCTATAATGAGCATTAGTACTGGTCATAGATGGAAGGAAAATGCACCAGGATCGCACACGAATTTAGGGCGGAAATCATTGTATACACCTATACTGAACCACCTTAGACATTCATTCTAATTCTATAGGTCGCCCTCTCGCAATAATGCTCTTCGTGCCCTTTAAGTATGATCTTTTTGCGAAGTGCTGGGTCCAGCCTGGGCTTCGTCTTTGTTCTCCTTGATTGTTTGACCCATAACACATTCCCTCTCGACATACTGTCGAGGTTGCTGGGATGATTCGCTCGGCGTACCCACTGGATCAAGAATGTCCAGTTCTAAGTCATGAAATGTCTGTTCGCTGCTTTGGTTGCTGCGACGGAGGCGGCTTCCGTGCTTTCTTAAGCTTCCTCGTCTGAAGAATCCAGATGCATTTTGTCGCATGTCATCGACATGGTTTTCGAGTGCAACATCTAGAGCATCTAGACCTTGATCCAGTGTATCACGATTGAGATGAACACCCGCATCTATGAGCTTATTTTTCCGTCGAATGTCTTGCCATCTTGTCAGGTTACCCATTTCCAATACGTTCATTCGGCGGTTTTTGCCCATCGGGTTTCCTATCATTGTGGGTCGCCAGGCATAATCCTCTTCCATCAATGCACGCAAGTCATTGGGCATGGAAGCCCGACGTTTCGAAGACCGTCGACGGGCTTGGGCAATTCTCTCCATCTCCTCTGATTTTGAACGAGGTATGATGAGCACATTCTTGAACCGAATGAGAACAAGCAACAAGAGGACTGTCAACAAGAAGAGTATCGCAGCTACGACGCTCGTGGCAACTTGTTGGCCAAGCTTCCGAGTTACATGACCGCCCAGCGCAGTTGAACCAGCCGCAAGTATGTATGAGAAGGATTGTATCATAGCGAATCCTGCTGTCACTCTCGGAAAAGATGAGTAATTGGTTCGGCGCTGGTCTTGACCCGAGGGATCACGGTGGCGACCAACCATTCCGGGAGACAGATCCGATGTATCAAAGGTTTCCATGATAAGGCCGTTGCATTCTGAAATTGCGAGACAGGATAGAAAACCTATACAAAAGGCAAAAAATGTTGGCACGCCAGAACTGATTGGCGGTCCTGACGAAACAGCAGCGTAACAGGCGCCACCAATCGGAAGGGCAATAGTGAAGACGGCCCGGCGGACTAGATGTGAAGACCATACTACCCTTTTGCCTATAACCTCGCGGTTGGCTTTGCCTTCTCGGTTGCGAGATCTCGAGAAGATGCTGGCCTTTTGGAAAGGAATTGCAAGTAGAGCGCCGAGTGCGACTGCGGCGACATGAAGCCCGACGTACGGCGACCTCAGACGATAGAATCGAGACACGAGTGAGCCCAGCAGAATGATGACAAGAACGACTTGTGCATAAATCCATGCGACATACACCGCTACAACCGCGAAGCCAGGTTGTTCAAGCATCTCCAAAGATAAACGGACACCATGGTATGCTTCCTGTCCCCACCACTTTGGACCTGTCTTGACTCGATGCATCATGACTTCTCCTCGAGCCAGACGACGCGAGATGTCTCCTCCTGTTCGGACTTCTGCAATCGACCGTCGGAATGCAGATCGTCGAACCTCGGGGCATATCACATTGAGGATCAAGACAACTGCAATCATTATAATGCTGATGTAAAAACCCCATGCTGGTGAGTGTTTATCAATGATAGCTGCGCCAATGAGAAAACCAAGTCCAAGAGACCCAATCCAGCACCAGGTCCAGATACCAAGCCAGATACCCATGCCACCACCATGTCTTCTTGCGTCGAAATCATCAACAACCTCTTCATGGGGATGTTGACACATTAGGGAAGCACCAAAAAGGTCTGTCAAAACTGAGTGAAAGTTCATAGTAGCAAAACCTAACGAGCCGCCCATTAGGGTACGAGAGGCCAACAGCATTGCCCTCCAAGATGCAGTGTTGGTGAGCCTGGGACTGCTGACTGCAATTGCTTGTGGAAAAAGAAGAGGCATTGCAATAATGAGACTTGACATTATGTAAGGCTTCCGACCGTGGAGTAAGGGCAATGGCCAGAGAAAGAACGACGGAATGGCAAGGGCAAGGAAACAACCGGTGTTGCCGTGAACAGTGACATGTGATTGATCCACGATATAGTACTGGATCGATGGAACTAGACCTGTATAGATACCAAGCAGCACCCCGATGAGCGCTGTGCTCAAGCAGGCAGTAGAGGCCACAAATCGCTTGCGAACGGGTGACCAGTCCCTCGCAATCGGTTGCCTGATGTGCGACTTTGGAAGATTGAACCCTTGCATGTCCCGTAGACTCACGTGCGATCGCTTTCGAAGATTGATGCCATGTTCGCCATGTAGTCTTCTACCAGCAATATTATGTTCTGGCAGAGCATCACGGCCGGTTCCGCTTCGAACGGCTGATGATGCGTTTGCAGCTGCCGAGCGTTTATGAGCTGTTGTCTGTCCCTGGACGTCCATTCCTCCGGCATCGAGAAGGGCACTTGTGCTGCGGAGATCCTTCAACATAACCGGCCTACGTCTACGATCCGCCTTGAACCCTTGATTAGATTTCCGGGACTTTCTGCTGAGTGATGAGCGTCGTGAGGACCCACTTTGTCGTCTTCGTTCAGCCCGAGTTCTTGTTCGAAGTTCCTGATACGTGCCAGAATAGCTCTCAACTATATCGGCCAACCGTGGGCGCTCGCGTACGGCAGTGTAAGTGGCAGCACGCCTGCAGCTCGGTCTTGCTAGGCAGGCCGTATCTTCTCCATCCATAGGAAACGCTTCGACGTTTCCTTGGGGTCTGTTGACCATCGACACGTTTGATTCACACCCCTGGTCGAAACCATACTCATTCGACACGGCAGAGTAGGTAGCATGAGCTGCGGCTTCTGAATGGTCAGCGACCTCTAGGGCGAGGGAAAGAGCTTCATCAAGGAGCTTCTCGAGATCGCTGAATGCACGCTTGAATAGTATCCCGTCAACTCCAGGGTCAGACTTGCCAGATAAAGTCGACCAGGCGGACATTCTACGGAGCGCCATGCTGCTTGGCAACACGGGCTCTGATGGGCGTCGATCATCAGCTCTGATTGATTTGATTCGAGGTGGAAGCTCCGTAAGCTGTGAGTTGTATGGCATTGTTGTGCGCGATAGCCGTTTGAGCCACTGGCTTTTCCATAGATAGCTCATGAGAGATCCCGAGGACTGGCTTCGGACTGGCCTATTCGTATTCGTAGCTAATAAGCTCTGGGCTCCGAGCGGAGATAACCCTGGTGAATCCACGTCGTGAGAGCTGTTGTTTTGGTCGTATAACTCATGCAGCTGTGTGTCTGACGATGCCATATTGGGTAGGCATGTGCCTGAGTTGAGCGATGAGACTTGTCTAGCATCCTGGTCACTAACGCTTGAAGTTTTCGAAAAGACTACATATTTTTCTGGAGGAGCGATCTTGTTCTCGAAAGAATTTCCGCCAGGGCAAGTTATGCTTGTCTTTTTCTGGCTCTTCGTGGTTCCCACTTTCAAACGATTTCTGTAATCGCTCAGAAGCAGGTCGAAGGTTGGACGCACTTTGATTGGAAGAGACCGAGACTTCTAGTCTTTGTTCGACAAGATACTCTTAGGTCTAGGTGAGTTCTGTTCGAGAGTTGGCCGCGGGCCAATATCGCCTCGTGATGACTTGAGGTCATTGTCGGCGCGCAAAGCCCCTGTAGTCCCTGGAATGTCTTCAGATTCGTGGTCATTCTGGTCACCCGCCGAATATTCTAGACGGCTGTGCTGTACAGTCGCCCCGTTCTGTGATATAGATGTTTCGTGGTAAAGGGGGACAGGCAGAGCGCCGAGAATATTTGTCGGTTCTGCTGCGGGTTCGAATTGCCGACTCTTCGCAAGAGGAGTCGGCTTATTAGCACTAGTAACCTCTGGATCGTCCAATGGTGATTTACGATAATCAAGGGATACGGTTTCATGGTTCGTTCTCAACCCTTTGATAGCCTTTGATCCCATATCCTCGCTTCTTGACATGTCCACGGACGTGCGTGAACTTGGAGGAGGGGTTTGATCAAAGTCACCGAGGTCAGTTCCGATGTGGTCGTTAGAGTTCCCTTGAGGGAGTAAGGCCCGAGTGTGGCCAATGAGATTGGAAAACATGATGGAATTCCGCGTATCGTGTGCTGCAGCAAGTGGTCGTGTTGACTAACGGACGCTGGTGACGAGACTGTATGGCGATGATGAGGAAGTTTCGCCGTGGAAGGTATGTTCTACTAGACTCTGTGTTGGGAGAGGTTGACTTTGAAAAGTATTTTTTGACGATTATTTGAGTAGATGAAGTACTGGATCGAGACACTCGATCATCGAACATGAGGGCATTCCCAACAAAATTTAGAATGAACACAGGAGGAGTATGAAGATGAAGATTAATTCTATCATTTATGGAAGAGAGACGGTTGTTAGGATGCGGAAGACGGAAAGGGGAGAAGGGTGAGAGGAGAGGCCGTTGTTGATGGTGATGATGGAGAGTTACAAGTCACGGTGCACAAGGTAAGGTCACTGAAGTGTTGATGGCGGCAGATGTGCAAGTGCAGTTTCCTTCGCCAGGATCACACGACCTGACTTCACGTTCACTTTCCCTCATCTTTGCCATTATGTGGGAAGGAGCGAGTGGATGCCCAAATCAAGGTGAATATCTCGTTTCATGGCATCAGATATTACAGTGATACTTTAGTTCGGCCCGAGATCACCATGACGACATGTTGAGCTACACTATCAAGAAACCTGACTCGTGTAGAAGGCTGAACATGACACAGAGTCTTATGTGATCGTAGCCGAGTTTCGACAAAGGACCCAACATGATACAGGCCTGTTGCATAGAAAGGAACAAGACCTGCAACTCATTTACTTGGGCTGTACGTACATCCCTTACAGAACGTCCTTGCTCACAAGCGCCAGCCGCCTCAACCCCATAGCTTGGACGGCCCACCCCCTGTCCCCTCTACGGGAAAAACGCCTTGAGCACTCCACCAGACGTCATGCCCCTGCATACAAACAGCCCGGCTTCGGCAAGCCAGGGATCGTCTAGTATAATTCCTGGGGACTCTGGCCGTCAGCATGGAACCCGACCTCAGCCGTTTCTGACAGCCGGGTCGTGCCATTCCTAAATCGATTTAATCCCTGGAAACTACCACGATGTAGCGTTACTGCTTTGGCTCACCTCAGCCTTTGATGAGCTCTTTAAGCGATAGACGAATCATCTTTCGGTGTTCGCTAAGTTCAAAGATGCAAGCTTCAGGTAGCTCTCCGTCATGTCAGCATCGTGAATTCAAGGGGGTGATCATGTCTTGTCCTGGCCAATTACACATAAGAATCCGGGTCCTCTTATACACTGCATGTTCCATCTAACCTTCAGCTCGGTTATAAGCTCGCGATCCTTCTTTGCATGGGATTGTAACATTCGTAATCCTAGGATGTGAATCTCGATTATTGTGCTCGTGTTGGGAACATAGTATTCAGCAGTATAGGCTATCGAGTGCTAAGCGAAATCTCCAGCCCTTCCGCAATGATGCTGCACGGGCGGGCAGGTTCTAGTAACACATAACAACCTTAATTACGGAGTAGTACACAAACTCTTTGTCTATCTATCCAAAACAAATGCCCCGATATCCTTGGCAACCGACCGATCGTCTCACACCCTGGAATAGTTCCCTGCATGGCGCCAGTGCGCCTAATCGCGCACCGCCCGCAAATCACACAAGTCCCCAGCCCTCCTTGTAATCTGCGTCAAAGGTTTCCTGAGTAAAACAGCCGAAATCCTTCTCAAGGCTGATTGGCCTTACTCTCGCCAAACACGCCCATCCTTCCCGCGTGGCTCGATCTGGCCAATTTGCCGGGGTGGGTGGCCTAATAATAGGACACGCTAACCTCGGCCGCCGTTACCATTGCCGTGCCCATGGGCTTAGACAAACTATCGAAACTGCAACTGCTACTGCAAGGCTGTGACTCAATCTAGTTTGGTATAAGTGTTTTTAGCTCTTTCTGCCTTGTCTGTACGATGCTCAACTCAGCACTTAGAGCTGGTGGCTTAACTGAGGCCTCCCCATGGCACATCTGGCATTGCTGTTGCGACGATTTTCCAGTGCTTCGAGGTCTTACATCTGTGTTAGAGCAGGTATGTAGGACCTTTGAACATATGATTATGATGGGTACGTATCCCTTTCGGCCGAGGTTTTCAAGGCTTGGTTGTGAAGTTGTGGAGAAGTTGACTTCACACGACCCACTTTGCCTGATGATCGGGAGGATGAGTTGAAACTAAGCCTCTGTAAAACAGGCACCGATCATACTTTTTACCTTTGGATATTTATGCAAATTTAACGATTCACGAGAAGAGTTTTAGAATATTGAGCAGACATAGATTTGTATCTTCTATATCGTGGAACGTTCAACGTTACACTTCCTGCTGCTTGTTGTTCGATTGGGAATCCAGTTCCCAAGTAAAGAACCTATATACCACATGACAAGGGTGACTGTTGCAATCAATGCTTTGTTATGACCCAGGCCATGGCGATATAGTATGAAAACAGAAAGAATACACCGGAGATTTCTAAAGACCGTCTCCAAAAGAAAAGAAATAATGGCCAGCCATCCGTTGTCCAGATCTAATGCTACAAGCATTTTGGTAAGCCCCGCCAGTTCAAATGCAAACCATGATAAAAATCCCAGTGACCCTAATGTGGATCGTCTTTTGTCGAAAAAGACGTCCATGGAGAAGAAGAAAAAAAGAAAACAAATAGCAGTACCGTAGTCCGGAGGTGGAGACTTATTACCAGTAATGTCTCAGCCCTTGATGCTCAAGAATGGAAATCCCGCCGTCTAAAATCGCCGTGAGGCTCTCAGCACCTGCTGTCCCAAGATGTAACCCAATGCCGCTGTATCCTGACTTATTTCCAGTCAAGCGAAAAATGAAGCGGCATCAAAGCAATCCACCGCTGTGCAAAGGCAAAAAAAAAAAAAAAAAGGACAAAACGCAAACGCCATCTGACAATGTGAGTTGGGAGATTTTTCGTCCGTTGACGAATGCTGGAACCGACCAGCAAATAAAGAACGCCCTGCACGTTCAAGAAAGTAAGGCCATGAGCTAAAGAAAGAATGGTTTGCGAAGGGAGAACAGCAATGCAAGTTGCTTTCCCTACCAAAAAAGGCATTCCGTCGTGATCGTTTTCATCCACATCATATCTCATTCCCACGCCCTCGGCAACGTTCCTGTAATCCCCATAACAAGAGTGGTCATCCACAAAACGAGGAAGCCCCAATGGCAAAGATAGAGCGAGGAACTCTGCGAAAAGGATACGCCTAGCGTTGAACCGCACTCGGAACTCCACCAGTCCAACGAAATCCTGCTAGCAAGAAGGAGAGCTGCGATGGGTTGCAGGAGAGAAGGTAAAAAACCCAGTCGTCGAACTTAAATATTATCAGCCTCGGAGAGTAAGATCCCATTGCCGAAGACAAAATCGTTCATCGATAGCCCTTTGAGCTTGAGTAGTCACTGTGGTAGCCACTGTCTGAGTAGCTATGTGGTGATGCATACTGAGCACCATGACTCGAGTGTGCAGAGCATAGGTAACCAACGAGGATCGTTCGCTGCTGGATAGGATGGCCTGGGCGGCCGTATGCAGCACAGCGATCAACAGCATGGGTGTAGTAGGGGCATCGGCAAGCCGAATAGAGCTCGACAAGTTGATAACACATGGTGGTAGTGGTGGGCCGTGAAGTTGGTGGCCTGGTGTCGTTGGTTCTAGAGTACAGGAAATTGTATACCAGTGAGATATCTAGTATGCGAACCAACAAAGGGTGAAATCGTACGCGGTCGGGCTCGTAATGAGGACAAGGGGCAATGTTCGAGGAGGATGAAGCATAAAGGCAAGACAGTGAAAATCAATGGAGAAGCGCTTGCTTTATTAATCTTGTGAATAGAGAGATAGGAAGTGAGGATAAGACAATTAACGTCCGAAGAGGCATCGCAGCCTTATAGGCCTGCTTGTAGCCTGGATGAGAGCATAGAAGGTCATAAACGACACGCCCCGGTTCGGGGGTTTTCTTGACAAACAACACTCCCCAAGAACATCACCAGGATGTTTGTCAAGGCACCAGTGACGCCAGAGACGCCAGTAAGAGTGCGTGAGAGCAATAGCCGCAAGTTGAGTCTGACTGTCTTGACAGGTGACAAAGGCTGGGGCGCGTCTATTGCAGGCTTGGGATAGTGCAGACCCACCGCTGAAGGACCAAAGATGCCTTGGGCCTGGAGGGGGAGGGGTCTGATGGACCTTTGAATTTGGGGGCTTTACTTTTTTCGGAGGCTATGGCTCCTAGGACCTTGTGCGTCAAGTACCCTGTGCTCTGATTTCTTCTGTTTCATCGGGTGGTTCCTGTTCCGAAGGAAACAGAAACATGCCTTAACTCAACTTATCCATTGTGTGAGACTGAGAAAGCACGGGCTTGCTCTCAAGGCGCAGCGTAGTGTGTGTGGATGATTGAGCCTGGCTACTGGGTACCCGTACCACATCAACCGGACAGGGATTCAACGGCCAGAGCAGGGGTAGTCCGTAGTGTAAAGCCTATAGTCCTGTAGGTACATACAGCATAGTAAGTGCAGGGAATAGGCGGCGACAGACCATAATTGACTCCATAGGTAGGATGTGGTTCCTGGGTTCGGTGTGAGGAGTCATCAATTGGCCTGAGACAGGGAGATTGAATTGACCTGCAGCAGGGCTGAAGGGGAGGGTTACAGACCTGGAAATGATGTGATGCAATGCAATGACGATAGTTGAAATGCACCCTCTTCAGTATCATACTGCATGGTACCGGCATGGTACCTTCTGCAAGTATCGTAGCTGCATGTAAGGACAGATTGAACGACTTAATCTTGATCGGCCGAGGGTGACTTCAAAAGCTTGTGACGGCGACCATCCTCTTACCCGATACTTTAGAGAAACACCATCAATGAATATTGGCGAGAGATGCAGATTTATGACGTATGCGAAATGATAGGACATGTAATCAAGAGGTCTAGACCCATGAAAGAACAGGAGCGCAGGGCGTTGATGGCAAAGGATGAGATGCGCTCATGATGGACATGACGAGGATGGATTTATCAGGGTCTTTTCGTTTGTCGACAGGGAGGATTGGGACGTGGAGAAAAAATTACGGAATGGCATCAAAATTTAGGGGACTTTGGAGAGTTAGTCATTCAAGGTAATAGTTCGCCTGGATCGTGCCCTTCTTGCCCATTTAAAGTCGACTTACAGTTACACTTGCCAAATACTAGGAGGTACCTTACCTTGGCCATCACACGTGCCCTCAATACTAGGTAATCAAAGCAGGCAGATCAGGCAGAGACTCTATTCTCGTCCTCAATGAGTAACAACGTTTACTCCTTTCCAAATCATCAACCCTCCCAAACGCAGCACGATGGGACTTTGAAACACGTAGCAACACGATAGCAAAACCTCAGCCACAATATTACTAACTGATGCCTGAAATGCCGTATCAGGAATGCAGGCCGTCTGTCTACCATCCGATCTTGAAAGATTCCTAATCGAAGAAATCACCAAGATCGAGTGTCCAGATACCTAATAAGTGCAATCAATACCAAGATGCGTCTTAAGAAAGCGTCACACGCAGTACCACTGCTCAGCGCTAGCCCTTGTTACTCGGCACTTATGGTGATGGTGGGCAGGCCTTGCTGCGCCCAACGTCCCGGTGCTAGGGCACTGGAGTCCCTGGAATCTGATGTGGTTTCTCTATTTTTTGTTTCCCGTTTCATACCAACAAGCATTAGCTAATTCTAATTGTGCAATAGGAAAAGCCACCACCTCAAATTAGAGTCAGGGAGCTACCGACTAGCGGGCCTAGAATCGTATGGGTCTCGATCATTACCCAGGAGCTCATTCTTTCACGATTCCACAGATGACATTATCGACACAAACGACTCTCTTCCATTGCAAGATAGCTTTCATGAACCGCCCGGCAGAGCTTTTGCTGAATTGAACATTCGACCGTGCCCCAGACGGCCATGTTGCTGGATTTCTAATCTATATGCCCCTCTCAGGACGAGACATACTTGCCATCTTGGGAATATCACTTTTTTAATGTTGCCTATGAACCGATATCGATGGAAAATGGTCGAAACGGATCAGACTCGGAACCACAATTTTAAGAGTACTACCCGCACCATCACCTGCTGGCAGTCATAGCGACAGGGTCCCCTGCCCATCATAAGGCTGTGTCTGCATCCCACCCCAGGCCTTGGCAATGCTTGCATTCTTCAGAAGTGCACACTTGGGTTGTTGCCAACTTTGACAAAAGCTGACGAATAGTTACGGTGTCTTATAATACGTTCATACCGTATAGATCATCAATCGTGGTCTTCGCGAGTCTCCAAAGTGACGCGAATTCATATGGGGCTTCATCCTTGTTGCAGCTTGTAAAGAAACATACGGAGCAAGCACAATCGTTCGGGAACTCATCGTGTATACGTCTGATGATCCCAGATCGAACAAGACTCCCCTCCAAGACCAAGGTGTTGGAATCTGAGCACACCTCAACCAAGTCTGTCATACAACGTTTCCGCGCAATTGACATGCATCCACACTACCACCATTATCCCTGAAAGTCTTCCGAGTACTATGCAGGATTGACCAGTCAGCACTACTACACAGTTCGACATTCACTCTTTGCTCATGAATGCAAGTGTGGAGGCAGCCAGCCCAGCCTTGCATTGGTGGCATTCTGAACACTCAGGTACGTTTTCTTACCCTCGAGTGATCTGTACAGATGCCTCACGACGCTGACAAGTTCCCGAAAATTTCACCGCTCCCTGCCTCATGTCTTACCCAAAAGCGAAGCCTGTATTCCTATTGGAACGGGAAACAGTGTTACCTGCCGCTGCAAATAGAATGCCCGGCATCTGACTTTCCTTGGTCAGCATCCTGGCCTACCTCACGTGGGCAGCGAGTTCGCTGACATCGAGGCCTTAAGGAGAGGTGCCATATGGATTGTCAAGATAACGAGAATTTGATGTTCTGAATCCCGCATGCCTATTATTTGAGTGGGAAAGAACATATGTTCACGCCATCAACGTTTGACAATTGTGTTGCTTAGAGTGCACAGCATAGACCACATCGTATATGTGGTCAACGCATTCCTGGCTTAAAAGAGTTATAAAAAGGACTAACATTATATCTCTATGAAGGAGGCTCAAGTTGACTCCAACTATAGGCTAACATTTACTGTTACGTCATAATTCCATGGCACGATAATCAAATCTGTTAAAACATACAATCGGACTCTTACAGAGGGTAATCGATCTCTACACAATGTCTCACTTGGCCACCACCATCGACGGTCCGTTGCCGTTCACATGTCTTGACAGAGACACCACCTTTTGAAGAAAGTGCCCAATTGGCTCAGACATGATCAATTGGCCCTGATTAGGAATCGTGTCTCAGGCACATGTCTCCTCTAAATTTTGCCAAAGTCCGCAATGAAGCCATTATTGGCATGGTAGTGTGTACACATTCTGTCGGAATAACAAATGCTGTAGGTTTATTCTTGGCAGACACCCTAGTTTACGGTTGAAACTGAGGAGTGCCAGAGTCAGACGTCCCCTATGCAGAGCCAAAAAGGAGTCATGGTTAAACAGGCACCAGAAACCACCCAGGCTAGAGCATCATCGCATGCAGGACAAGAAAAAGGAAATCAGTGACTGGCTAAGGAAGGTCCAGTTAGACGCCCAAACAATACAAACAGTCCGGGGCAGAAGGGAGATGACGAGCGAGCACGGACGAAGGCCACAACCTTCCATCTATGTCACTTTGTCAATAATGCTCACTCCTCGTCTGCCTAAACTGCTTCGCTGCTATACGATACCAAAAGATTGCGCTTCTGCGCAGAGTCTGGGGGTTAGAGTGCTATGATCAGATCGTGAAAATCAGTCTCTACTCAACACACAATTACCAGACAGATCACACATGTCCAATACGGCCCTGACGGCTTACTATCATCGTCATGGAGGGTTGAATGACCTCACAGTCATGTCGCACAGCGATTCAAGAACTTCAGCCTCGCCCGAGAACCTATAGAACAACCCTGTCGTCTGCGGGGAATGGGTCAGTCCCATGCTCATCCGGCGACCGCACCCAATAATCGGAGCCCGGAGAGGGGCGCCACTGCATGCCCCACGGGCTGCGCCTCCCGCCGTGGCTTGCCCCCCGTTGTTCGTCCCGGAGTCGCCGGCGGAGAAAGCTTGACTTACAACATACTGTTCGGCCATATCATGACAACTTCTAATCCTCATCTGTTCTATTGCAGCGACTACTTAACGCCCAAAAGGTCATACCTGTCACAATAAGACGCAAGGCATTTTGATGACCCACCCTTGTGCGTTTTGTTCTTTTTAGGGACACTCATATTGACCTCAGTCTGCCTTGGACTCATGAACCCAACTAATACCATACAGTCACACATGCAGTCGTTTGAGCATACTGTGACAGATGTCAGACTGTACTCTCGGCCGGACCCGTTTCTAATATTAAGATGAGCACAGTTCCCGTCGTTGATTTGCCAATCATTTTCACATTCACCCCTTTAACTTGTTCATCTGGCGGCGCGGCTGTTTGCCGATGCGTTTACATCCTCAACCCTACTCGTATTTGCCTTCCAGCGAAAAATGTTGCTGCTTACAGTTAGCACAAGGTCGTTACATGGACCCCCCTGGCACAACATTGCCGCCATGCCTCGCGCCTCTTCTTTTGATCTTGACGCAGCCGCGATCCTATTCGTGATCCTAGGCGTGGCCCGTGATCTGTCCGACATCATAAGGCGTAAGGCTGATCTGCAACCGCGGCGACGTTTCTCGAAATTGTCCCATCCTTCGAGCTTCTGGACTTCAGCTGTTAGACGATCAAGTAAGCATCTGACGTCGTACATGTTAGCGGCTCTTGCACAAGCACCAATAATTGCCATCATGGAAGGGAGGCCTCAGTCAACAATCAAGAGTCAACAATGAGCCTAGTCTCGAATGTTCCATTATGTGTAAAGTTATCTGGATGCCTGGAAGGCTCATTGGTGTTAGCCATACTCTGTCTGGGTGACTGGCCCCTTCTTGCGAGCCCCCTTAATTTCTATACTCTCCGATTCGGTAAGGACAACGACACTTATTGAGTTGCGTTGAAACAGTCGTCAAATCTCGTGATATACCCCCTTCCCAAAACAGTTGCCGCCCAATTCCAAGCTAAGTTGACTCAGTAATCGCTTTCTCACCGTATCACGAATTTGCCTCCCGCAGATCCATTTCAAAGGGACCGGAAAGCGGACGTTTTGATCATGGTGTATGCGCGGTAACAGGTTTTGAAATGAATCATCGAGATGAATCATCGTGCCACAAATCCTTCTTCCCTCTTCTGCATCCTTCATGCCTTCGCCTACCCTCGTATAATCTATGCAGTTTTGTTTGTAAGGCGAAGACCAAAGTCATAGTGTCCCTGGCAACGCCGTAGCGTAGTGTATCGGTTACCCAAAGATGCACAAAGGTCAAAACAAAATGTTTAACGCAACCTGAACTCCAATCATGATGAAAAGGCTTCCTCCAAATAAATACTATGTTCGTCGACTCATTGCGGCCGTTGCACCCGCAGCGGCCAGGTCCTGCTTCGCGCTCACACTCCTACCAGCAGCTCGAGGCAAGCCACTTGCTCCTTGTGCAAGTCCAGTCGTACCAGCGCTCGTTCGTTTAGTTGGCATGGAGCTGATGGGTCCCGTGGTCCCGGAAGTCTTTCGCACACCGCCAGAGACTAGTTTGTGAGGGCTGGCTCCAGTTCGCAGGGAAGTTGGGGGTTTGACGCCAGCACCTGGAGGTTCTGGTAGAGGTCGTGGCGTCGAGATTGTGTTATGTCGCTTCATGGGTGATGATTCGCGGGTTGGCGGCATACGAGGGACGGGCATCTTACGCCCAGTAATGAACTCGTGCCGAATCGCATCCTCAGGTTTCATGCGTCGTTCGGGGTCCCAACGCAAGCACCTATGCAGAAAGTCTATGAATACCTCGTCGTCGCATTTGAGCACCTGGCCTAAAGTTTTGGAAGAAGGGCGACGTCTGCGGCCTTTGGAGGATACTGTAAGACGGGGTTTGCCCATCGAATCAAAGAAAAGTTTCTTTCGGGTGCTCTTTTCAATCAAGTGCTTCTCAGGAGGCCCAAAGACCTCCATGATACAGGCGAGTTGCTCTTGTTCGTTTTCTCCCGGGAAAATAGGGACTCCAGTATATAGTTCTGCCAGGATACAGCCAACGCTCCACATGTCAATCGGCATACCATATGTCATGCCAAGGATGACCTCTGGCGATCGGTAGAAACGAGACTGAATGTAAGTATACACCTTCTCGTTTTCAAAACAGCTGGAACCAAAGTCAATGACTTTGATTTCCGCATGAAGGGGATGCCGCAAGAGAATATTTTCGGGTTTGAGATCGCAATGAATGACTTTGTGCTGCTTGAGCAGGTTGAGTGAGCTGAGAATCTGCTTGGTAAAGCGCCGAATGATCTTGATAGAGAAACCTCTGAAAGCATGGGCTTTGATGAGCTCGTAGAGGTTCATGTCAAGTAATTCTGTAGATATGCAGAGATGACTACGGAAATAGAAACTTTGTGTAAAGTTGACCATGCTGTGCCTATTCTTTGGATCCTGTGTCAAGTTAGCATGGATATTGAAGGGCGACCAGTGATTCCGGCTTACCCATTCACGAAGCTTTTGTAAGATATTGACCTCCACAAGAGCTTGTTGATGGAATCTTTTCTTGTTCCTAATGATCTTGATAGCTACCAGACCGCCAGTCTTATGATCAATGCATCGAACGACTTGTCCAAAGCTTCCCTTTCCGAGAACATCGATGATCTCATATCGATATGCAAGATGGTCTCCAGGCACAATGGTGTAATCACCACGCTCGTCGTCATATCCAAAGTTGGGTGCGTCAGACTGGAGATCACCGACAACCTTGTGGGCGTTCTGTGTCCCACAGAAATACACGTCGGTGTAGTCCACAATTTCGCCTCTCTCATAAATATTGAGCATGGCAATGCGAATAGCTTCGTGAGCGCCAACTCGTTCTTTGGGAGTAGCTCGCTTTCTGAGCGCGTCCAGGGTTCTGGCAGCAACATCCGTCTCCTTGCGTCTAGAACCCAACTTGGCCATCTCCTCTTCTGCAGCCATATCATCCTTGTCGAGGTCTGCAGAGTATGAGTCAGGGCCCTTCGACATGCCAGAAGAATTCCTGGGGCGAAGAATCTTCTGCATGACTGAAGTATTTCGACCAACAGGCATTGTTGAAGGGTCTGGCACTGTTTTTTTCGCTGTCCAAGATTCGCTTTTTGTCTTGTCGTGGGAGATGAACCCATTGAGGCTTCCGCCAGAGCTCTTTCGCCTCCGCGACTCAAGATATCCGCCAGGAGGTTGCTTCACAGTCGGGGAAGGACTGGCTTGCTTTAGGGTTGACAGGTTGTTTAAAGTGGAGGAGATGGGGATCCTGGGAGGAGGCATAGGTTCCTCTGGCTGCTTCGCGCTGGCTTTCTCAACCACATCTGTAGGGGCAGTAATATTGCTCTTAGAGTTCCCACGTTTCCAAGAAAGACTGAGTTTTCGTCGAATAGAGCTCATGGAAGAGGGTGTTTGTGGTTCATCCGGCGAATGTTCCGGTTGAGGAGACTTGGCGGTTGGTTCTGCCTCTTTAGGCGCGCGAGGACCCGCAGGCTTCTGATGAACTTGATCTTGGAACATGTTTTCATCTAAAGTCATGAAGTCGGCTCCCGTCTTAGACCTTTTCAAGAAACCATGGTCTGCGCCCCCTTTGGGTAAAGAGGATGACAAAAAAGGTGACATGCTTTGCTTGTGATCAAGTTCCTTGAAACCTAATGACGACTCAGTTGAACTAGCATCAGGGGGCGTGGGCGTGAGATGGGTGTGATGAGCTGAACTGCTACTCCTAAGAGATGGAAGCTCAGGAGTATCGCCATGACGACTTTTGGCAAAAAATGAGCTTTTAGAAGCTGTCATGGGGGTTGTGGGTGTCTTTGGCAATTGCCGAGCTGGCGGTGGAGTTTCATGCCTATCTACGCTGCTGTGGTCTTGCAACGCTGCAATCTTGTTTGCAGTTGGGGTGCTCAAAGGTCCTAGGTTGATTGGTGGCAGTCTTAGAGGTTGCAGGTGTCGCTTATTTGGAGGAGTGGCCTTGCTATCAGGCTCAGCCGCCACACTCGGCACATAGCTCTTTCGAGCGCTAGGCTTTCTCTGAAGTTTCGTAGGCTCAGGAAAGACAGGCATAGAAATGACTCCGGTAGAGTTTGAGTTCATGCCCATGGCGTCCATGTTGCTAAGCGCAGTCTTTTTCTTCTCCATAAAATAAGTATCTGCGGGCGAGTCTTTCGGCGACTCATAGGCTTTCGGTATAGCAGGGACAGGCGGAACATATTCGTCATCATCAGCTGGAATAGGGTTGTGGACTGTCGTATGTTTCGGTGCAGGCAAGCGCGACGTGGATGAAGACCCAGATATACGGTGTAACGACCCAGTTGATGTTCTGGCCGAGTTCAGGCTGAAGCCCGAGTTAACGGATAGATTCGAGTTGAAGGATTTACGGTGGAGGTCTGGCGTAGTTCTGGAGGATGACGGGGTACCAGAAGTTCGCCTTGGAATCATGGATGGCGATTTCGATTCAGCTCTCTCAGGCTGGTTGTTCATCGACACTGGTGGTGGAGGCGGAGGGGTGGAAACCTGACCAAGACTCAATGACTGTGGCATTGTTGAGAGTCGCTTCATCCTCCTCGTATCAGTGGGACTAATTGTCCTCGCGCCGAGGCCAGTCGCATGTGATGAATGGTGGGCGCCGGGCATCATCGAAACTCTCTTGTTGGCGGAGGACGGTGTGCTCAAACGGCCTCCGACCCGAGGTGATCGTGGGGCCAGGGTTGAGTGTCGGTTCTGCTCCGGGGTGAGGGTGTTACCAAGACCAAGATTGGATTGATTGGGTCGTGGTGGCGGTTGTACTGATTTGGATTTCGCGGCCCTTGAGTTGGGAAAATTTCTTGTATTATCGAGCCATGATGCATTGCCGTCCATAGAAGCTCTTGTCGAGCCGGCAGGCGTCCCTTCAGAGAAGAGACTGGGGCGCCGTTTCTGGGGAGGTCGAGCTCCGTAGTCCCCATCGCCAACAATTCCTGGGCCGATCGATTTTCGAGGAGGTTTTGGCACGACGGTATTGGACACAGGCGGGTATTGACTTTGTCGACGAGAGCGCGCAGTGCCTGGACCGTGGATATGATCAGTTGGGCCAGATGCACCGGAGGCATTGGCAGGCGGCCTGTTAGGATTACTAGGTCGGCGCAGTAGCGAGCCTGATCGAGCGGGCCGAGTGTTGGTTTGGACAGCAGTTCGAGTGGCAGCGCCATTCGAGGACGGGGCTACTTGAGATCCAGAAGACATACTGGCGTTATCTACCCCGTGTGTGTCGAGAATGCCCCCTTCGCCGTTGGGGGAGGGGAATTGGGTCAGTTTGAAGTCTGTTGAAGCGGATTCGATGCTACTCTGTAGATCGTCGAAGCTGACAGAGGGCAGGAAATCGAAAGAGACAGTCGAATCATTTAATTGACCTGAATCTCCATCACGACTAAAAGAGAAAATGGAATGATTATTGGAAGGAGTTGCGCTGAGCATTGGATCGTCGGAGGCAAAGCCAGGGTTCGTCGAGGGGATATGTGGTCGAGGCTGAGCGTTGGCGGTTTTGCCCCTGTCACAAAGGGATCAAGGTCAGCTTGGCCATGTGCAGAAATGCAGTGTGATAAAAGACTTGGTTATGACGATGACAGCGGTGTGCCAGAACACGCATTGACCAATATGTCAAACGAACGAAACAAACAGAAAAATGTCAGATGGAAAAGGCTCACAATCGCGTTGGAGAAAAGTTGGCTGGTCGAGGCCCAGCAGGTGCCTTGTGGTCGCGGCTCATGGGGTCCAAGGTCGAGGGGCGTGGCTGGCAATGCGACGACGAAGGTGGATTTCACGGGGTCGGGTCGCTGGCACAGACTCAGTCCGGTCAGGGAGCTGAGCGCATTCGAACGGCTACCTCATTCCGGAACCGATAAGAGTATTGAAGTGCAGGAGAGCAGACAGAGTCAAAGTTAAAGTCAGTGAGCGGTTGGCGACAGGCGAAAGGAGCCCGGAGTGATTGATTGCGGTGGGCACTCCGAGAAAGGGATGGTACAATAAGATGCGAGATGGAGTAGAATAAAAAGATGGAGTCGTCAAGTTGGTTAGGTAAGGTTGTGTTTTTTTCCCTCTGGACGGGGTGGCCTTTCCTTAGGTTCATGGAACACTGCTATAGGCGACCACAAACAGTTCCGGAAGGAGGCATGGGGAATACTTGCGAGCTAAGGGGCATCACACTGTCTAGCGTGTGAAGAAAAGCACCTGAGAGGTTGGTATGGTGGAAGGGGCCTTGTGAAAGAACATCATGGTTGATAATGAACAGTGAACAGCGGATCTCGACACGGTAGAGGGCAATTTGATTGGCTACTAGAGCTTTGAAATTGGTCCCTGGATTAGGTGCCAGAGGTGGAGATCCCATACCAGTTGTCAAGATGCCTTTTACCGCCATTTAAGTTGATGGAAGGTACCTGTACCTTGGACCTTTTCTGCCCGCATCAGATGTATCTTCCCCAGCAGGTAATCTCAAATGCGGTACCTCAATAACGTCCCCTTACTTTATTAGCCTCCCCTGAACTCAACGATGCAGATATTTGAGGAACGTCAATCATCCGTTATAGAAAGATGAGACATTCTCTGAACAACAATTGAATGCCAATCCAATTCCGGGCTAAGACTCTTACGCTCCTAGATGCACTTGTCACGTTTTATCGTCATCTCATTCCAAGCTACCTACCTGCCTGTACCTATACTGCTACCCGGCTCTGCCAGCTGGTCTCTATAGCACAACCACCCAATAATGAGCGGCGATGGTGGTGGTTTTAGGTAGAAGATTTGCATGGTCAGTGGAGAAGACAGCGGTATCGCGAACGAATGCTACCAGCCATACCATCCACGCATAGTGCCGAGTCGCGTGAACCGGTTGACGCATCAACGGGCACTGGCGCAATGCGCTACCCAGGTCGACATCCAGTGTTTGTATTGGGCCGTAATCGGATGTTGACATTGGAGTTATCTATGCGAGTATGCTGAGGTAAAGATAGCTAGGGTTCACGAAACGACAGGTTACCCGATTCGATACTACGACATTGACAAGTGCTCCGCTGTTTCGTAACCAGGCTGTTCGCAACCAGACACAGGTCTCGAGTCAAGGGTGTCGGACTGTCCTCTTGACGGGAGACGGGATGGCTAATGGATAGATGTCTTGTTCAAGCCTTCCGCTCAGACCATGAACATCGGGTGAATACAAGGATTGAGTCGTGTCTCAGATTTTCAAGGACCCATCAATTGGCCCCAGCAGGAGCTTTCTCGGGCATCTTCAACCGGTAGGGCCAGACGGATGCATCTTTATTATTTACCAAGCATTTTGCCGGACCAATAAGCCTGACCTGTTAAGGCTGTTGTCGGTTGGTACCTTATGCATTGTTGTCCTGCCAAGCATCAAGGGTCTGATGGTCCTGCATCTTGAGTCGTGTTTATTGTTTTTCGCCGTCTATGCGGTGGATGATAGTTGGCAGCTCACAGCTGCACGCAGCATCTGATTAACGCATAGCCAATCTGGCATCTGGCATATGAGTTGTCGTTGTCATGGGCAATTGTCTCTGTTTGAAGTGAATTAAGCCCATGCATGGTTATGAGATGTCACTTGATATCATCAACTACATATCAGACACCGACGAGCCGGGACATTCAGTGTGGATGACACAATCAAACTGTCGGGCAGGAATTCACGTTTTAAAGGCTGTCGCTGGAATGGATTGCTGAATACCTCCACAGCTGTAGCAATAGTACCGAAATGACGAGGGTCATGCTTTCTTCATTCGATGTTCAGTGAATGTGGGGTAAGTCAGGCTCTATGAACATGGATATGGCTGTGGGCATCCATATAAATTAGAATAAGATATATTATGAGCCATGTCTCAGGACTTATTAACTCTCTCATGTGAGCGCTTCCAGGCTTTTATTGGGATCAATGTCAAGTCTTCTAAACTGTAACAAATAAGGCAATCTATCTGCATCTAATTTCTGTACTTCAGAGAACATTACACGGTCTGAAGGCGCTACGGCCCGCTTGACACTAATGTAAACTCTAGCTGATAGCAGAATCATGGAGGGTATCTAGCAAATGATTTCCCACTCACCACGAACATCATTTACTGCTGAATCGAGGCTAGCTTCTCTCCTCCGTTATTATTAGAAGCCTTTGTCACGGGGCCAGTCTAGGTTAGGTAAGTTAGTATGGAAGTTAGTTACCACAAGATGCTCACCAGCCGTCGGGCCTAGGTGATGTCACCAGTGTCACATGCTCACCCGCGATCGTGCCGTGACACCTCCACGCGGGTATATTGAATCCCCAGTTTCTTTTGAAATCTCCACCATCCGACGTCGCACTATGTCTTGAAACATCTCTCCTCATGGACGACTTCACTGCAGAGATGTTCGCTTCTGGGCGCAACCTTGACTCCCCCGAGAGCTCAAGCCAGCGGCCCAACAATGACCATAACGATAACGATGACAAGCAGCCCGAACCGAAGGCTGAATCAAGCTCTCAGAAAACGGGCCTACGTGGAGGGTTTGCTGCTATTCGCCAGAAAGCTAGCTTGCAGGACCGATTGGTAGAAAAGTATATTGAGCTTCCTGAGCCGCTGTAATGCCCAGCTTTACTGACTGGTGCCACGGTAGACTTCTTCAGCAAGTTATACCCACGGATAGCGATGACCAAACCGACGTTCACTTCGCCGGTGATGAACAGACAGCTACTCGTACCGAGAGGCCGAACTTCAATATCACTACTATGTCCTACAATTTCCGGCGTTTCAATGCTCGAATAGGCGTCGTCTTTAAGTTCCAGGCTCGTGTCGAACGTATTCTATCCTGGAAGCGCGCATCGCATACTCTGTCACTCCTCGCCGTCTATAGCTTTGTCTGCCTGGATCCCTATCTCCTGTTCGTGCTGCCTATTGCCATCCTTCTTTTTGGTGTCTTCATCCCCGCGTTCCTGGCACGGCATCCAGCACCGCCCAAGGGAACCTTGTCGAGTGAACAGAATGTTGGATATTCTCCCCAGGGACCACCTTTGGCACCTGCGGCGACAGTGAAACCCGTCAAGGAACTCAGCAAGGACTTCTTTCGGAATATGCGCGACCTACAAAACTGCATGGATGACTTTAGTCGGGGACATGACGAGGTCGTCGCCCTACTTGTACCCGTGACGAATTTTAGTGATGAGGCTCTCAGTTCTGCTCTATTTTTATTTCTTGCGGCCGCAGGCATCTTTATGACCATTGCGGCCCAACTCCTACCCTGGCGCTTCATATTCCTTCTCGGCGGTTGGGTTATCGTAGGCATGGGTCATCCGCATGTCGCCCGCCTCATCGCTGCCGCTCATCGAGAGCGTCTACAACCACAAGAGGCCAAAGCTCGGTCATGGTTAGACAACTGGATAAGCTCAGACGTTATCCTCGACTCCAGTCCTGAAACGCGAGAAGTGGAAATCTTCGAGCTACAGCGCAAAACCTCTGGTGGTGGCGAATGGGAGCCTTGGCTTTTCAGTCCTTCACCCTACGATCCTTTGTCACAGCCTCGAATCGCAGGTGAACGACCACGTGGCACACGCTTCTTTGAGGATGTTATGCCACCCGAAGCGTGGGAATGGAGCGAGAAGAAATGGGCTCTAGACCTTTGGAGTCGTGAATGGGTAGAGGAACGTATTATTACAGGCGTTGAAGTTGAGACGGAAGGCGAGCGTTGGGTTTATGATATATGGGATGAGCGAGATGGGCGTACGGGTGTTGTGGACGTTCCTATCAACGAGAAAGGGAAACAGAAGGCAACACCGAAGCCAAGCTGGGAGGAGAATGAAGATGGTAGTGGCCGGAGAGGAGACTGGAGACGGCGACGATGGGTCAGATTGGTGAAGCGTAAGGCGGCTCCAGCGCAGCCAAATTGATCTGATACGTCTCTGCAATATTGTGCTCTTGCTCTGGTTCTTCATATTATGCAAGGCGTTGGTCGTGGGCATGAGATAATCTACACAATTGTGGCCCAATATGGGCATTTTGGCATAAGAATCAACATGACATTCGGAAATTACATTATTGAGTTTTGCTCATTCAATTGGACAGTATGGGCTACCGAAAAGTGAATACCAAAAATCCAATCCTCACGCTGAAATCACGCTTTCAGAGTCCAAGTGGTATCACGCTGAACAGGCTTCTCCTATGCTCACAAAATTGGAGGTCGTCATATGTCTCTGATTCCTGCCAGAACATTCTATATACGCTTCGCTCATAACACGTCAAATCCGTGAATCGTAACGAGATAAAAGAAATAAACCGGAACGTTGTATGGTTATCATTGAATGGCCATCTTATCCAGAATCTTCTGGATGCCCTTCGTGCTGCCACGCCCTTGATCGAGCTCCTCAGCCATCTTGCGAGCCCGCTCGATGAGGACGGTGAGAACTTTGCGGGTATACTCGAAGCTACCTGTGGACTCCATATAGGCAACAGCGTACCGCTTGACCTGGGTGTCCGAGGTCTTCTGCTTGAGGATGTTGATAAGCTGGAGATTTGTAGGGTTGGAGCGAATGCTGTGGATGACAGGGAACGAGAACTTGCCCTCAGTCAAATCCTCGCACATTCCCTTGTTATGGCTGTACTCCTTCGAGGACAAGTTCATGTAGTCGTCTCGAATCTGGAAGATGAGACCAATCAGGTTGACGAGGGGGACGCAGTCCGTAGGACTAGGGCCGTTGGCTTCCGCCGCCATAAGCTTGATACCGAGACGGAACAGGCCGCCTGTCTTGTTACCGACCATTTCGAGGTAGTCCTCTTCCGTAGGACAAGTAAGAGTGTCACGCCAAAAGAGGTCCATCCCCTGGCCTCGGTGGAGATTCACAAGCTCATCGGAAAAGATAGTGATTAGCTCTGGGTTGTTGAGCTTGTGCAGCTCTTGCAGGGCGACAAAGTATATGTAGTTTGCCGAGTTGATGGTTTGAGCGACACCAAAGATGTTGTGCGCGACAGGGAAGCCACGGCGCAGCTCCGAGGAATCCTGTACATCGTCGATGAGGAGCGAAGACTCGTGAAGCATGCCAACGACTCGGGTGATGACTTCGAGGCTCGGCGTGGGTACGTCGAGCCAGGCGTTGAAGGCACCAATTAGCTGGGCGCGGAAGTCCTTGCCAGGATGGCTAATGACATAGTCGTAAGGTCCGCGGACGACATTTTCCTTCTCCTCCGTCCAAGAGCGCTTAGCCGTGAACTCGAGATCCTCGTGGGCGTAGCGCTCGGGATCTGGAGGCGGGTTGGGAGCTTGCATAACGCCGTAACCAGCGTTTGACATCTGTGCCTTTGAAGAGAGCTGCTTCTGGCTCAACCAGTCACCTTCTGGAACAGGGCGCAGAACAGGTTTTGTAGGTGTCGCGTTGAGAGAGGTTGGGACGCCGGTGCTCGAAGTGCGAGGTGGAATTGCGTTGGGAGACATAAGTGGGTTGGAAATACCAGACATCTTCTCCATTACCTTTGGCGAGAGCGACAGCATGTGTAAGGCCGACGGGGGCAATGCCTCAGGGTTGAGAGAGAGGATGGGGTCGGCCGTGGGGATCATGCGTGTTAAGTTTTTGGGGTAGAGCATGCGATTCGTCTAGGGGGAAAGAGAAGAGGAGGAGGGGGAGGGGTCTTTTTTGACGGATAATCGATGACGCTGTTGAAGATATTTGGAGATGCTAACTGTAGAAAGAGAGGCAGAAATCAATATGGGATAGGAGCGAAATAATAAACAAATGCCGTATATGTGGTGTTTGACCGTGTCTTGTCTCGTGGCGTACTGATAGCGAATGGTATTGTCGGGATGCTCGGGTGAATCTATAAGTGGTCGACGTCATTGAATATCCAGACGATACATGTCTAAGCCTGCCTGATGCGACGATAGAAGGGTCATAGAGTTGACACTGAGCCTGTGCGCATGCTTGCAATGTGGATAATCTGCTCAATCCAATTGCACATGCGCTGAATAGCAGGAGCCTAAAAGCGAATCCTGCAGGCTGCAGCTATCCAGTTTGAGATAGGACTTCAAGAAGGACGAAGCTGCCCAGAGCTTCCTCTGTCTTGTGATAGAGTGAGGGGTGATGGTGAGGGTGAGGGTGAGGGTGAGGGTGAGGGTGAGGGTGTGGGTGTGGGTGTGGGTTAGGTACGTGTTCGTCCTACGAAGGACACCACCACTTTGCACCTTGGCGCAGCACGAACTACAGGTACCCTTCACAGCATGTCAAGCACTAACTGACACGGCCGTGCCTCTTTTAGGGGTTCTCATCACAAGCTAATGCAGAATGAATGGGACGGGAGCTCTGAGACGGGAACGCAGCTTTGCTTTCCTCTTCTTTGTTGTTGAGAGGGGCCCTGCGACAGGAAAATGGGCCTTTGCCAGGGGGAGACGAATGAACAAGATCAACGTGGGATTGTGAATCTGATTGCGGGGAAGAACCAATTGACAACCAAAAGCAGCCAAGCCAGGTCATTCAGTTCTAATACTTAGCTGCAGTTGATAGTCATGTTGACGTGGGTGTAATTATTCATACCTTTGATGTTTTGGTTATCGAGTTGTTCAAAGATGTTGCTGAGAGACGGATAAATATCTATCTGCAAGTGTGTCAATCAGGTTATAAGTGATAGTTATGTCGACTTATATTCAGTCAAAGGCATGCCCTATGTTATGATGACGATGAAGCAGCGAAAAGCGAGCACAGGACTGAGTGAAGGAGCTCATAAGATACTTACATTAGTGGTAATGAAAAACACTTTAGTAGGTAGTCGTAATATACAGCAAACAGTAGCGTAATGAGACAGCAAATGAAACAAAGGCAGAAACATTCTTTGATGCACCAGCTCTCCCTTTATCTATCTTCAACCCCAACTCACAATCATTAAAGAGTTTGATCCGTTGGGACAGAAAACACACCACCTCAGCCCATTGTAAGATCAGGGCTTGCGAAGCCCATGCTCAGCTCGCTGAGGAGCAAGGCGAAGACGAACACGTTGAGTCCATCCATCCCTGGTTTCACTTTGTCACGGACCACGTCTGCACCGTGAGATCTCGCCAGATAACTCTAGATTTCACATGCAAATCAAAGGTGCACCGACGAGCTGATCAATGGGGTCAGATCATGTTGCTTGAGAACCCCTGCTGTCTAAATCTGGACCGTGGAGCTCTTGATGCACCTACCCTAGACCACCATTTCCATGCGTAAGTTGGACAAGTTGGACCATATTAATGCTTGGGGTATTGTATGCTTTTAGTCTATGTAGATATCTCTCTGAATATTTATTTCATTGATATATCTGCCCGAGGCTCCGAATTTTTCGGCAAGGTCGGAAACTGTTATACTTGTCCTCAACTCCAATGCGGATCGTGAGATTGTTAACACACCAGTCATTTCATGGTTACAAGGCCTTCATTAATATTTGAATGCGTTGTACTCCGTAGTGTCTTAATAATTATGAGAACTACCAAGAGTCCCCGAAGGCAACTGGCAACGTTAATAGAATTACAACATCACCTCATAACATGTCCAGTCATTTCACCACACAAAGCCTCAATGCCTAACGTTGCTCACGGTGATAACTCCGTCCACAATCGGCCGAAACATTTGTCATACGGCAATGGGGATCCGAAAACGCGAGGGCCGAGCCATCCTCTCGACTAGTTCTCAATGTTAGACGAGGATTAATTGCCGTTGTTCAGGTCAACCAACCTATGGTGTAATAAGATCTCTCAAGGTATGACGACAGTGGTGGAGCGAAAGTGGTGATGCGGCATGAAGATCAGAGAACGGACTTAGACCTGATTTCTAATTTATTTCCGAGACTTGAGAATCGACCCTAGAAGCAGAACAGTGTCATTGACTTCAAGAGAATTCACTAGTCGATATCAGATATGACATACGCAGTGCGTTGGATATAAATATAACTCTTTGCTCTCTCATCTTGGCCGAATCTCCCCATGTCTTGTAACATTAACAGCCATGGCGCCTATACATCGAATATTCTCATCGGCTAATAACAAGCCCTATCGAACTAAGCAACTTGAAGAAGAAAATCCCCCATACTTGAACGAGGATGGCTACGTCGACTTTGCACCGGGCGACATTCAAAATCCACAGAATTGGTCTTCAGCTCGGCGCTGGTCTGTGACGTTCTCAGCTGTGCTGCTCGTACTGAATGCTACTTTTGCATCGAGTTCACCAAGCGGATGCTTCCCATCTATCTCGGAGCACTTTCATGTATCCGAGTTAGTAGCAGGCTTGACCATCACCCTGTTTCTATTGGGTTACTGTGCCGGGCCACTCATCTTCGCACCATTAAGTGAACTCTACGGAAGAAGATGGATCTTCTACATCACATTTACGCTATATCTCATCTTTAACTTTCTGTGTGCCTGGGCACCTAACTTCGGCGCCCTCCTTGTCGGCCGTTTCCTCACAGGAACATTTGTCTCTGCGCCCCTCAGCAATGCACCTGGTGTACTAGCAGACCTGTGGACCCCAATCGAGCGTGGCAATGCTATGGCGGGATTCTCTGCTATGGTATGGGTTGGGCCAGCATTAGGTCCCGTTATCGCCGGGTTCCTCGAGCTCAAGAAGGACTGGCGTTGGAGTTTCTATGTCCTCCTCTGGCTTGGTGGTGCAACAGCTCTCATCATGTTGACTATTCCCGAGACACATGCTCCCACACTTCTCCTCAAGAAAGCTCGAAGAATACGAAAAGCAAAGATTCCTGGTTATGAAAATGTCAAAGCTCGTTCTGAAGAGGGTGATCGTACACTGAAGACTGTGTATCGTATCGCCTTGACCAGACCGTGGATTATCCTCTTTGACACTATATCATTTCTCTGTGCAATCTACATGTCTGTAGTCTATACGTTATTATATATGCTTTTTAGCATCTATCCAATTGTGTTTCAGCAGCATCGTGGCTGGAACCCCGGTGTGGGAGAGCTGCCGTTGATTGGAACTGTTATTGGTGAGTCCCTTTTGTTGATAGAACTACACTGAACTTACACCAACGTACTCGTAGGTGCATTCATCGGTGGTGGCATAGTTTTGATCGATACGCGAATTCGAAAGAAAAAGACCGAGCATGGGGGCAAACAAATGGAGCCCGAAGATAGATTGCCATTGGCAATGATTGGAGGAGTTGGATTTGCCGTGACCATGTTCTGGTTTGCATGGACGGCTGAGTACAAGTAAGCAACTGATACATCATGATCGTTCCCGTGTCTGAAGTCACCACACGCTCTCAAGAGCTCGAACTTCTCCCAATATATATGTATATATACTGACATTGGTTCTCGCAGCTCTATCCATTGGATCGTACCGACACTGGCGGGAACTTTTCTAGCAACATCTTTAATGCTTATCTTCGTAGCGTTCCTGACGTATCTCGTCGATGTTTATCTCATGTATGCGGCATCTGCTATTGCAGCCAATACCATTGCTCGATCAGCGTGTGGAGCTGCTGCTCCGTTATTCACTACACAAATGTTCAATACACTTGGAGTTGGAGGCGGTGGAAGTCTAATCGGAGGTGTTGCCACGGTTCTAGCCATTATCCCGTTTCTGTTCTACAGATATGGTAAACAGATTCGAATCAGAAGCAAGTTTGCGCCTACAGAGGAAAAGAGAGAAGCTAGAGAGAAGGATGAGGAACAGGCTGACAGCAATCTCACTGCTCGGAGGAATAGTGTTTTGCCTCATTCAGATGGCCCGAGTAGCTCGGATACCACAGTGGCCGCCGCATGATACTGGAGGTCAGCTTAGCACAATACTTGATACACTTTGGAGCTGTCAGCTTAGACGTGGCGTCAGTAATCGAAAATGTCACATAAACCTTTTTGCTGAGACTGCTGATTTACCTGAACAATTTCCATATGAGTGAGTTTATGAACGTCGTTCAATATTTGCTAGACAAGACTTACACTCCATACTCGGTTACTATCAACACTTACAGCTCAACATTTCCGCGAGCACCAAGACCAGCAGATGACCAGCAGATGACCAGCAGATTCCCCAGAAAGAGACTCGAATTGATACCTATGTGTTTTTCATGCCACAGGGGTCGAATCACTTCGCCCAAAAACATATAAATAGACCAACAAGCGACAACAATAGAATATGTATTCTCAAGCTCAGGGGCATCATAAGGACTTAGTATGACATGGGAGTTCTAGCGGCAGATGCGCCTGACTGAAGATTCCATCTGAAGAGACACCTGAGCTTTTCAACGAAGCCGATAGATAATTCTTGAACAATTTAGAGACAGGTCCGGAATAACACTCTGAACTTAAATTAATCTTACATAGGTAGCTAGATCAAAGCGTAACAGAGCAAACTGTTTCGGCTGCTTGTGTGGTTCTTTTTAGTATATCAAATATCGGAACATGCATTTATCTTCTTTTCAAGCAATTGTGCATGAAATGCATGAAACTATGTAATATTACCATGATGATTATGTGAGCATCCACTCTTAAGCTCGGAACTTCTTTGTGTCGATCCCAAACCACCTACATTGTAACTCCTCCATCTTTCTGACTTAAAGCCATCGCCATGGGACGGACAGTAATTGCATTCGACCTCTACGGCACGATTCTCTCTACCGGATCGATAGCAGGAGAATTGGCAAAGCTGTACGGACAAGACAAAGCTCAGTCAATTGCCGCTCTAGCAAGGCGATATCAGCTTGAGTCAACATGGCGCGTAACCAGTATGGGTAAGTTGAGACAAGCCAAAAATTAAAGCCATCACTGATGACGTATAAAGGCACTTATCGCACATTTAGCGACTTGACGAGATGGTCATTTCGGCAAGCTACCAAAGAGATTGGTGTTGAGCTCACTTCTGAGCAGGAAGAACGTATCATGGATGCGTATAATGGCCTTAATACGTTTCCAGATGTGGATAAAGCACTCGAAAAACTGGCAGAATATGCATCTATCGATCCATACATCTTCTCAAACGGAACCAAGGCCATGATGACATCGTCACTCGATACATGCCCAACTTTGTCGAGAGTGAGCAACATATTTCCCCACGAGAAAGTCGTCAGCATCGACCCTCTCAAAGTGTTCAAGCCGCATCCTCGTACGTATGAGTTCATGGCTGAGACAGCAGGGATGAAGTCACAGCTTGATAAGATCTGGCTGGTGAGCTCAAACCCATTCGATATCACTGGTGCTGTAGCTTTTGGATTCAAAAGTGCATGGATCGACCGAGATGGCAAAGGTTGGGCTGATACCCTGGGATGTTCACTGGGGATTGAGCCGACTGTGATAGCGTCTGGTGTGGATGAAGCTGTGCGGGTAATCTTGCGTCAGTCTGAGGATGTTAAGTAGGGCGATGCCAAGGATTTCTTATGCTCGATTATGATGACTTTCCTACTATAAACCCCGTCATTCACTTATTCACACACTAGTTATTGGATATGTTACGAGGCTATTCGATCAGAGATAGGTATCCGGTAATCATCGAAGTGATGGGCTTGATGACTGCAACATGGAGTCTGAGAAGGTAACTGTAGACTTCAATATTGAACTTCTTCATGTAAACAAGAATTCGCAAGAAACCAGTGGCGCCATGACTAAAAAAAAGAAATCTACTAATCACATCCAACATACGATCAGCTCTAACAGAATATGTTCCCAGTGGGAGTAAATCAAGTTCTGTTACCATTCTGGATTCTCGTATGATTATCGGCCGAGAGTGGACATTCGGCCGAGACAATGCCAAACAGCCGTGGTAACCTGATATACCTATAATTATACACGAGAAGCAGGAGAGATGGTGAATTGAGGATTACCAAACGCGCAGTATTAGTTCGCCATGGAATTTAGTGAATGATATGAACCCAGATACCTCGGGGACCTTTGTTTCCTCAGGGCCTATAACTGCCGAAGTCCTTGTATCACCGTGTTGCTGTGTAAACAAGTCCACGAGTCTCTGCCAACCAAGCTTTCCAGCATTCCCATCTCGTCGAACATCCTTAGACTCGCACCTAGAGTCCGGGCTTTATTCATAACTTCCATCTCAATCTCTTACAAGCAAGATTCCACCTGTACCTACTGGGACATTCCCTTCACCAACGACGCAGATGACAGTTGACAGCCCACTTTAGCGCGATCCTAGCTGCATATCCCCTGTAGCCCCCTGTAACCCCGGACCATGCCAGCCCGCTTGTCAGCTGGCGACCCTTAAATCTTGGAATTTCCTGAGCCGTTGCTGTGCCGATAGCGCCACTCCGTGGGATTGTTTAGTGACAGCAACCTGACGACGATCCTCCATCTTTCCACTTCTTTAAACTGTTGCTTGGACGCGGTGACTCTCGGCGGTGTGACTGCGATACTCAGTTTCCATTTCTTCTATTCTTCTTGTCATCTTCGTCAAATGTTTTCCTAAATACTCTTTTAAAAGCACCAACCGCAATCGCATTAAGTCGATACTCTTTCAGCCTTCCCGTCCTTACCATCTCCGGCATAACGTTCATTATTGTCTCCCCACGAACAGATACACGATGGAATCACTTCTGTCTCTCGCCTTCGACAACCTTTCGTCGTATGACGGACCAAAAGTCCGTAAGGGCCTTCGCCAGGTCGAAGGCCTTCTAGCTCAGATCTGCCTCTCTAAAGCAAGCTCTCGAAACGACCGTGCACATCGAAGCCGAGATACCGACGATGATGGAAGTGAAGGATCAACACCTTCTCAAAAGGATCTTTCCCAGCTTTCCCGCGACCCGGCATTTCGAGAGTTCTTCAAGTTGCAGGAGGGATTCGAATGGAACGTTGCGATGCGCCTTATCAGCACTCTCGATCGACTTATGGCTAAGGGTGGTGATGGCGGAAACGACCTGTTGATTTTGAGTTCTCTTGACCTCATACAAGGAGTCTTGTTGCTACATCCTCCCAGCAAGTCTCTCTTTGCACGAGAACAGAATATGAACGTATGTACACGACCACTAAGCCGCCAAATACCACAAACTAACACCATGTAGCTCCTCCTTGACCTTCTCGAGCCCTTCAACTGTCCTGCGATCCAATCTGCGACTCTCCTCACACTCGTCACTGCTCTTATCGAGACCCCAATCAACACCCGTACCTTTGAGAGCCTTGATGGCCTTCTTACTGTCACCTCCCTTTTCAAGTCGCGATCCACGGCCCGTGAGGTCAAGCTGAAGCTCGTTGAGTTCCTCTACTTCTACCTCATGCCTGAGATTCCTTCGATTCCCCGAGCCGATCAGCGCGATAGTGTTCCCGCTATGCTTCAGCGAAGTCCTAGTAAACTCGCAGGTGCCTTCAATGCCGACTCACGCCGCAAGCGTTCCGGCTCCGATCCTGAAGGTGACATCTATCTCACCACAGAGGAGAAGCAAGAGCTGCTTAGCCAGCATCTGAGCAGCGTAGAGGATCTTGTCAAAGACCTCCAGAACTGCGCACCTTTCGGCGGTGTTGTCTGCTAAATGCAGCTGTAAAGAATGAAGTTGTGGTGTATACTGTTTTCATATTTACTGTTACATCTCATTCAACGGCGTTGTAAGGACTATTAGGTGGTGCCCTTATGCTTTGTTCTTTCTTTTGGCGTGGAGTTCTGAGTAATAACTTCGGTACACATAATCATTTGTTCGTTCCGCCGGACCTGTTGAGTTTTGAATGATCTCTTTGCACGAATGGACTGGCTAGGCGTTTATAAGTAACAGAAAAGAATAGAACTGAACGCATTTCTCCTTTGAATTATTGCTTTTGCTTTGGTGCAACATCCCCCGCTACACTCTGCGGCGGGGTGGGGACGATTGACAAGGGACGGTCTGGTGTTATGGCTGAGTCGTTACCATATAGTTCGAACCGGCCGTCTATTGTTTCGGAAAGGGGTGTCTGGTATATACTTGGGCTGGACATGGGTGATAGAAGATCACTGCCGTCCCTATTCGTTGAGCCGATCTCGACGGGCGCTGCGATATCGCCAGGGGATTGTGCATGCATGGGTACAGCAGCAGTTCTTCCAGGTGAGGTGACCCGTGAGCTTGCTTGCTCCGTATATGGTCCTGCTGATGGGTCTGGTCCAAAGTAGTCTTGAGTCAAGCCTGACCGGGCATGGCTCCCTGATATATCTGTCATGGTATCTCTAGGGGGCGCACTGCCGTCTCCTTCGCCAGATGCTGACGGCCTTGATTCAGTGCGCTGGCGTCGCTTGCGCAAACACATCCAAGTCAGTCCGCCGACAATGATACTCGCTCCTACGACGACACCGACGCCAATCCCAGCCTTTGCACCGTCTGACAGGCCGCTGCTGCTGTCGTCATCGTCGACAATCGTGACACCGCTTTCCGTTGGTGTCGCTTGAGCGCAATATCCCTCACCACTGACCTGGGTGCACTCTTGGTCGTTATCGCAACAGCCTGCACCATCGGAGCATTTATGTTGAGAGGTCGTACAGCCTGAAGGTATGGGCGATAGGAGGTCGGTTCTCGAAGCCGGTCTCGTAGAGGCGCAATCACCACCCGCCCGACACTCAGAGTTGTAGCCGCAGCAGTTTCCACCAAGGCTACTAGGACAAAGGTAAAGACTCGTCCTGGGACACTTGCGATCGCAGCAGCCCTCTTGCGCAGTGGCAGTTCCACTCCTTGTGACGGTGCGGGTACAGAAATAAGCATTCGAACTACACGGCGAGTCGCTGGAGCAGTTGGAACCTATTGGACAGCATTTCGGGTCGCCCTTTCGGTTGACGTAGCAGTAAGAGTCGTTGTCGCAACAATCATCTGGAAATCCAATCTCTAGGCCTGTGGCATAAGTCAGTTTGGTGTCGAAGAGTATTATGACATGGACATACAGTTGTGTGAATCTGAACCACAGTCTCCTGCGCGTTTTGCCAAAGGAAATGAGCGATCGATGAAGAAACGCGGCATCAGGTCGCCAGGAGCTGCTTGGAGTGCCTCATACTGTCGTGGGTTATGCGCAACAGTGAGAGGGACAAAGACGAGACAGCTGAGAAGCCTCATGTTGAGCGGCGCAAGGAAGAGTGACAGAAGATTCAATAAAGCGCAGTGTTCATCGTCGCATCTCGTATGGAATCTATTTTCTCTCACAGTTAATTGACCAGCAGCTGGAAATCTATGAGCGCAGTTGAACAAAGAAAAAGAATGTGATGGGAGCCAAGACTCAAGAGAGGTCTATGCATGTAAGACTCGAATCAACTCGCTTCGACGACGTGCGACGGAGAGTGACAGTACCCTTGAGCCCTCCACTACGTTGTTTGCGACCTGCCCTACCATATTGGATACATATCATTGGTCTGTTGTTCACTGTACCTCACGTTAATTTCCACTTTCTTATTCATTTCTTGTGCTGTTAACGAAATGGTTGATCACAACGTGGCAGAGAACCGTTACAACGGGGCTAAGGCACAAGTGCTTACATGACATTGCCCAACTTGGTATAAAACCCGCAATGGTCAGTTCAGGCTGAGATGTTCACCGGAGAATTAAATTTGATATATTATACTATTGAGGCTTAAAACTTCATGAGAATGGGGACTTAGAACATATGATAATCAAAATCAGATGGCGGTGGACAAAGGATAAAATCGATCCGATCCATGATGCATCAACTGTGGCTGTAGTTGATCAAGATGAGTAAGAAGCATTTATGCATGTGATTTTCAGTTTCTCTAATCCTTGTAGCTTAGCTGCACCCCAAATCCCAGGAGGAAGGTCTTTTGTAAATAGAATAGACTAAGACAGACGTACGAATGAGTTGCTGCTGTGCAAGTCTGACAAGAATCAAACGTCCATCGTGAAAGTGCGCTTACAAAAGAAAGACCCCGCCATGTATCGACGAGAAAAGCTATCATGCATTGGCCTGATACGAAGAAGAACGACCAAGTATGCCTTGCTTATATATGTCCCCAAGTAACCCGATATGGGCAAGGTGAATAAAGTATAGTACCTAGATATCTGCATTCTTTGAGTGATAATACAGGCTGCCGATATTCTCCCCACATTCACGATTACCTTACTAGTACCGCCTACACCTTCGGAGGACATTCACTAGGCAAATATTTGTGGTGTAATTGAATCATATCTCTGATATAGATATTGAGCCCGTATTACTTGAATATTAATGCCGTCTGTACTTCTATTTACTCTTTAATCCGTGGCTGTAGTGTTTTCACTGCGATGAATGATCATCTTGTCTGAGCATCCTATGCCAAAGACCAACGGGAACGCTGCCTCTACATTCTTAGCCTTGGATCAAGGATATATTGCACAGCTCATGTCTGGGTAGCCATACTTCTATTGCTCTCCATCACTCCCTAAGGCCCGAAAATACTTTGATTCTTTCAGGCTGGCACCCCCTTGCCCAAGGTTGATCTACTCTATGGCTACCGTGAGCGAATCGCTTACCCTTCCTTCACTGCTGCTCCAAAGCGGCCGGGTTTAACATTCGTAGGACTGTGTATACTGGTGCTACTGCTTTTCCAATGGCACGGTACTGTGAGTGAAACACGAATTAATTTTCATTATATGACGAGCGTATCAAAAGGGGAATCCATCGTAAATTCATAGTGATCATTCTAAAATTCCAAACCCAAACCCAAATATCATTAAAGTCATTAACTCCAAAGCAAATAATGTGCGTTTGCATCTATGCTCTCTCCGCCAAACTAGCCGACGACCTCGGAATTGTTCTGAACCCACTGTTTGGCGTTGCATGGAATGTCCCGTTGATGTCTCCAGCACCATGAGATGGTGCTGAAGAAAGAGACAGAGGCTCTTGGCTGGGCTCAGGGGTTGTCATGACATCAATTTGGCTCAAACTGATGGTAGTTGTCGTTGTGGTCTCAATGGCTGTAGTCTCTAACGCGAGAGGTGTTCCTCTATGGGTTTCTGTCAACTGATTAGTGGCGTTCTCCAACCCGATCTTATTATGAATGTTTGTACCTGGTGTGCTTTCCTCATTGCTACTCTCCAAAGCAAGTTTTCCATCCTTGTTGAAGGCTGCATTCGTGTCTGCGTCTTCATCTTCTTTGAAAACATGACCGGGGGCTTTCAATGATGCAGTGGGTTGATTTGCATTGACAAACTCTGTGCGTATAGTTGTTGCGAGAATGGTTGAAGACCTTGTAAGAACTGATATGAAAACAAGAGTCCTAAGGCTTAAAGATGTCGGCTCAGGTCTGGAGACAGCAGATGGATTTGAAAGTAAAGTTGGTGCTGCGAGCTGCTGAGAGTCTCCCGCCTTGATAGTCGGGGTGGAGGTGGCTTCTGTTTCTAATGCTGGAGCCACTCCTTCGGCCCTGACAGTCGCAGGAGAGTCTTCTGTTGTCTGTATCCCGGATCCCGTTGCAGAGGCTTCAGAAGGATCTGCTTCTGGAGTAGGTACGAGGACCAGGGTTATCGTGGTGTCTTGTGCTGGCTCGCTCGAGGATTTGCTCCTTCTACCCGGTGTGCAGTTAGGGTTTCTACGTAAGATGGGTAGATCACTTACTTCGTCAACACACTCATCATCTTCGACACGAGATGGTCTCTGGGTTTCCTTAGGTGCTGAGGTACCGGTTTGCCTGTCAAAGCTGATATCGGTCGAGACTGTCTGGATAACGCTATTAGGATTCTCAACAAATGCACCCCCGGGCGCAGTACTGGTAGCATCAACAACCTGCTTAGCAGATGAGAAACCAGAATCTTTGGCCTTTCCTTTCTCTGTTGGTTTAACGTCTTGTGCTGTGCTAAGTTGTGTTCCCGTCGAAGCTTGAACTTCACCAGTCGGTGCAGCAACAGCATTCTTGGGACGACCACCTGATTCTCCGGTGGCCCCCTTTCCAGAAGCATCTGCACCCTCCGGCAGGGTTACGGCAGCACTATTGTCAGACAACCTTTCAACTTTAGGCTCGCTAGACGGATTAGTAGATTCACCATTTGCCACCTGAGTGGGATTTGCAGCTGGCTGCGCCAGCTCGGCCTTTGCTTCCCTATTGGAATCTTCCATCTGCGATGCGTCTGGTTGAGCTGAAGCGTCCGGAGCCTGAGGCTCGACAACCGTGGCTGCGTCTGCCTGCGACGGCAACGGAGATCGTAGAGAAGGGTCAGAAACCACAGGAACTTCTGATGGACCCAAGGCAACGCCTGGTTCAGGAACACCAGCTTTGTCAGAGGGAGCAGGCTGTTGTTCAGGCTGTTCGCTACCAGTAGACTCATCAGAAGAACCTGCGGGTAATTGATCGGACTGACCAGACTGGCCCCCTGACGAGGCGCCCGTTCCACGAGTAGGCTCTTTGTCCGGTGCACCAGATGGCATCATGCTGTTCACCTGCTCATGGAGTTTGTTGATCTGATCTAGAAGTTCCTGAAGGGATTCTTCGGTAACCTCAACCATATCGCCCTGGTCTTCAACCAATCGCTTCACAAGACCGAGAGTGTGGTGAAGTCCATGACCATGGTGGGATTCCCCAGGAAGCTCTTTGAAA